TGCAATCATAGTCCTAAATTTTTTTTAAAAATGCAAACGAGTTCCATATAAATTATTAAAAGGGTAATTAAAAAGTGCAAACGAGTTTCACTATCATTTTGAAAGACGTCCACACCTTTCTTTCTTTCTTTTTCTCATTTTTACCATTAATTAAATATTTGATTGCGCAAATCATCATTTCTATCAATTTTTATCAAATTTCTCAATAAAAATTTGTAAAGTGACAAATATACCCTCTATTTAAATAAAAATAAATAAAGAATTAATTGTAATTATAGTCTCAATTTTTTTTAAAAAATGCAAATCATTCCCAAATAAATTATTAAAAAATTAGAATTTTTTTTTAAAAAAAGTGCACACTAGTCCTAAATAAATTATTAAAAATTAGAAATTAAATTTTATTTTAAAAAAAAGTGAAAACGAGTCCCAAATAAAGTATTTGAAAAATAGAAATTTAAAAACTACGAACTGCTCCTAAATAAATTATTTAAAAAATTCTTTAATTTTCTTTTTTATTTAAATAGGAGGGTATATTCGTCATTTCACGACTTTTATTGAAAAATTAGATGAACATAGGTAGAAATGATAGTTTGGGCAATTAAGATGTAATTAAGGATGGTAATGCTGAAAAAATAAAATAAAGGTATGGACATTTTTTCACAATAGTAGTAAAAAGTAAGGACATTATGTGCTAATTATTCTTTTAATAATTTATGTTGACCCGNAAAGAATTAATTGCAATCATAGTCATAAATTTTTTTTAAAAATGCAAACTAGTTCCATATAAATTATTAAAAGGGTAATTAAAAAGTGCAAACGAGTTTCACTATCATTTTGAAAGACGTCCACACCTTTCTTTCTTTCTTTCTTTCTCTTTCTCATTTTTACCATTAATTAAATATTTGATTGCGCAAATCATCATTTCTATCAATTTTTATCCAATTTCTCAATAAAAATTTGTAAAGTGACAAATATACCCTCTATTTAAATAAAAATAAATAAAGAATTAATTGTAATCATAGTCTCAATTTTTTTAAAAAAATGCAAATCATTCCCAAATAAATTATTAAAAAATTAGAAATTAAATTTTATTTTTAAAAAAAAGTGAAAACGAGTCCCAAATAAAGTATTTGAAAAATAGAAATTTAAAAACTACGAATTGCTCCAAAATAAATTATTTAAAAAATTCTTTAATTTTCTTTTTTATTTAAATAGGAGGGTATATTCGTCATTTCACGACTTTTATTGAAAAATTAGATGAACATAGGTAGAAATGATAGTTTTGGCAATTAAGATGTAATTAAGGATGGTAATGCTAAAAAATAAAATAAAGGTATGGACATTTTTTCACAATAGTAGTAAAAAGTAAGGACATTATATGCTAATTACTCTTTTAATAATTTATGTTGACCCGTTTGCACTTTTAAAAAAAAAATTGGAATTATAATTGCAATTATTTTTTTCTTTTTCCTTCTTTTTATTTAAAAAGAATGATATATTCGTCATTTCACAATTTTTAATTGAGAAAATGAATGAAAATGACCTTTTGAGTAATGAAATGTGAAAATACAAAAAATAAAAGATAACGACATTTTTTATAATAATAGTGAAAGGTAAAGACGTTGTGTTAATGACCCTAGAAAATGAGGTTCTCCATTCTTAATTCATTTAAATAGGTTAATCTAATTTATCGAAAACGTACACTTAAATCACGACTTTATGTTGAATTAAAAAAAAAAAATGCTAAATGATATGTCAGATTTTCCCTCATCTTAAACTCGTGTGAAATTCATGCGCGTTTTTTAATATCTTTTAATTAATGAGATCCAAATTACAAATTCAAATAAATGGATGACCAAGCCGCCTTCTTAGTTGTAAATAAAGGGTCAATTTAGGCTCTTTCCTCCTATGGCATCATCAGGCCAAAATACGATTGTTTGAACCGTTTCAAAACCAGCTCCCTTCGTCAATAAAATATATGGTCTGCTTATCGACGGTGTCATTCGACACCTCGATGTCAATCATCGCATCAAAAATTGAATATGTAACAGGACAAAGATTTCCCATTCTTTAGCCGAAAAGATAAGTGACCATGAAAGAGAGATGAATTTAAGTAAAACCGAATTAATACGAGATAATACACTTAATAACTTGTCAAAATCAATTCTAACTCGGCCAAAATTGACCATCTTTTTTTGGCCAAATAATACGAGATAATAGTAAGAAAGGGTGAAGCTCACTTGAGGATCCAAATTCATTTAGATAAAACAATCATCCTTGTCCACGTAATGTTACAATATATCCGTGACAATACCCAATTACCCATCGAGGTTTGGGATTTACGAGACACTATGACACTAACGGAAAGCAACTTCAGAGGTGCAAACGAGATGGGCTCGAGGAAAAGAAACATACTATACATATGGAATGCTAGACGGATCATATTGTACACCGTATGATCATAAACCGAGGGAGGGACACTGCTTCCGAGCATGATCGGGAATCAACTTAACCAGGGTCTCTGCTGGTACACCCTTGAGCTCTGAGAGTAAAGAAAGCAGCACCTTAGACAAACTTACAACACTAAGAAGAAAAACCAAATAATGAGATCATTTTCTTCATACCGTGAGGCTTAAAATTGAACAACGGAGGAAGGAATCGTCCGTTTGGCAGGCGGGTGTTGGGATCACGTAGCTCATCGAAAAAGGTGTGGGTCAAGGCGTCCAACTGCATTTAAAGTAAAGCAGCAACAAGTTGAGAAATGTGAAAGTAAAATGGTGGAATTCTGGCACTCGAACAGTTTTAAATACGGATTCCAATCAGCAGTACAATTAAACACGTGCACATTTCTGGCAGCCACTCGCTAATAAAATAATGTTAAAACTTGGGGCTTCTAGATAGGCTGAGTAAAATAAATGCACAATTTTGATCTCAATTTCCAGTCAAGTTCAAAAGCATGAAAGAGCATAGTTACGCTACCAGTTTCTCTAGCTGGCATGCCAAATGAGGAAATTATGTTCTTAAAGATTGACACAAAGGATCCTAATAATCCAATACAAAAAATTGCTTTCAGTTGAGAAAATATATTATATCATGAACGTTGTACTATATTCCAGTTACCCCAACGAAAAAGGAAAAAAATGAGTAAAAGAATCTGCTCAGCTATACTTTTCCCATAGAACTAATCAAGGCACCATTACCCCTATCGATTCCCAGTAGCAGAAGCAATCCAATGTGATACAAAATAAAATAAGAGCAATGCTAGAGGTACATCGGGGTGTACATCACGGTGTACA